GCAGAGTTTATTCTGCCGACAGCTATGGGACAGAGTGAGCCAACCAGGGGACTGACTCCCCCAGCCCAGGCCATGCCTTCAGACAACCTCAGCCCCAGCCAGCGACCACTGAACTGCAGCCTCGTGAGTGACTGGAGCCTGAGCTGCCTGGCTCAGCCCCTCCTGGATCCCTGACCCTCAGAAACCAAGAAATCATAAATCTTTATTGTTTTAAGCCTCTATGTGTGGGGGGGAAATTGTTATGCAGTTGAGACAATCCACCTGCTGGCTTCCTCATTCCCTTGTTTTGTTCGCAGTGATGCCTTACTGACCCGCCCTGTTTTGCTGCAGTTTTCTCAGGTCACACTTCCCTGTCGCCGGCTGTTTTCTCCGGAGCACTCAGCCCCTGCTAATACTCTCCGTGCTGTGTTGTCTTGCTCCTTCCTGAAGGGCTGAAATCCACAGGGGCCAAGGTGCTGCCTGCTGCGCTTCCTGGCACCCATTCCCTGCTTCCTAGTGGATGGGGGGTGTTCGTCATCTGGAGTCACTTGACCGAATGCAAGAGTCAGCCGGGACTAACTCTTGCACTCTTGCTCTTGGGGCTAGTTCGCTTGCAAACAGTCAGGACTTACTTTTTCTCACTGCCACAGAAGGCAACAAAAACCCACTTGGGTTTGGACAGTGGCAAGGCCACCCAACCCCTTTTCTTTGGCCTGCCCGGAAGCCATGTGTGCTGCAGACTGGCACACGTCTTGGCTACTCGGCTCATGATGGGTTCCAAGCAGCTAGATTTATTCAAACAGGGCTCCAAGAGACGCAAACAATCCAGGCGGCCACTATCCCAAGTGGAGACTAATCTGATTGTCCTTGGGGCCAGGACATTCAAATCTGTCACGGGTGGCGAGCCCGCAGTCATGTGGCACCAGAGGGGCAGCTGTATCAACAGGCCCCCTTGCAGATCTGCACACGACTTGACCAGAGATTGAGTTGCAAATAAGGGCGGAGAGAAGCAGGAACAGGGTGAGGAGAGGGAAGCCCTGTTGTCCAGGCAGGAGTTGTTAGCTGGCATGAGCTAAAAGGGACACATCCTATGGTGAGGGGTGAAGCGGAGGGAGAGGGGGTGGTTGGAGTTCTTGGCCAGCCAGGTGCGTCTGCTGGATATGGGTTGGTACCATTCCAGGAAGTGATGTGACTTGACACTGTGACCAGGATTCCTCACCCCAGACCTGGGAAAACAGTCTCTATATTGTTATACCACTCTGTACGTCGCTCCTCTGGAATCACAAGATCTGGTCGTAAACAGATGTTTTCGAGTTCACAGCCTGTTGTTCTCACAGCACGGAGTCATCAACAGTAAGGAACCCCGAGTGGTTAGCACAGCGGCTCAGAGCTGTGCCTCACTGCTAAGCTGTCAGCGTTTCTAGATTCCCTGGCCCCTTCTGGCTCCTGCCTGTGTCAGGGCTGCTGATGACAGCGAATAAAGAGCCTTGGGCAGTGGTGGGTAAAGGGCAGAAAGTGGCACCAACCGAGGGGGTGGAAATAGCAACACCCAGCCATCGGAACATCCCAGGGCTGCATGCCCACGTCATTGTCGGCATCCCAGCGCTCTACCAGGGCACCCATGCACCCCATCTCCACCCCAGGCAAGCGCCCCGCCAAACCCCCAGGACTGGGACCTGTCCAGGCCCTCCCGCCCCATCCCCTGCGGTGTTAAAGCCCAGGAAACCCCATTCTGGCCTACCCACCCTGAGTCTACCCATCCAGGGTTAGTGAACCCGACCGGCAGCAAGAATTCTGCCAGTGTCAGCTGGGTGGCCTGCTGGCGCTCTCACATTGATCCCATAGGCCTTTGAACAGGAAGTGAGCGTAAGGCCGCTCGAGTGGGAAAGTCCCCAGGGCTCCTGGCACCCTGACCCTTGCCATGGAAACTGGCACCGTTGGCTCCATGTCACGTGTCTCCTGGGGTAGGTTACAAATTGCCCCAGGGGTTGGCACAGCCATCCAGAAACTCGCGGTTCCAGGGCAGCAGGGAAAGCTGCCCAGGGAAATTCCGGCGGATCATCATCTGGTGAGCGCCTGCAAACCAGGCCCCATGGCCTGGGAGGACCTTGTGCTTGCGTGTGAGTGCCCGAGGGTCGGCGGGGCACTTGCGTCTCGTTGTGTTGTGAACAAGCCCTGCTCTGGCTTGGCCGTGAGCGCGCTGGGAGGCACCTGCTCCCCTGCGCCTCCTAGCCAGGTCTACCCAGCCGCATCGGGGATACTGGGCCACGGAGTGTCTCTGCCCCAGACCAGACCAACCGGTGCTGAGGGCCCGGGTGAGGTAGGGGTGGGGACGCGAGTGCAGGGATCTGGCTGCCACGTGTGACAGGAGTCTTCAAAAATTAGCCCGTCCCTCCTTTCTCGCGCGCCCCTGGAGAGGGTTAGCCCCTGGGATAGAAGAGCGTCTCCACGCACACGTGGAGGAACCTGGGGCGAGTCTGTGTGCGCCTGTCACCCGCGAGCCAGCCTGCGGGCCACGGAGGCGCCTTCGTAGCCTTGTTGTCGGACTCCGCCACTTGCTGCGTCACTGGTGCCGAAGCGGCCAAGTGTGCCGGCCGCCAGCCCCGCAGCCGCCCCTGCGCCACTCCCACGCGGGGCGCGCTCCGCTGAAGGGCAGCACCCGGTGGCGGCCAGCTCCCGCCGGTCTGCCGGGTCCGGCCCTGCCCTGCCCCAGTCGCCGCGCCCGCCCGGCACCGCCTCCTTCTCTAAACACAGCGGCGACCCGCCCTCGGCGCCCGGTCGCACAGTGGGTGTGCGGGCGGCGGGCGGCATTCGGGGCCCCTGGCGGAGGCGGAGACGGACACCGCGCCCCGCCGCTGCCCACAGCAGCGCTGTCGCGGACCGAGCGCACGCACGACCCGGCTCAGGTAAGCGGCTCCGTGCCCGGGACACCGTGTGCCCGGGCTGCGTGCGAGTAGCGGAGGCAGCGCACAGCCGCGCGCCTGGGGGCTACTCAGGGCTGCAGCCGCTGGCTGCACTAGAGTCCCCCTAAAACCCAGGAGCCCTTTTGTCCTTAAAGACCCCGACCTTTCCTTCTCCGGCTCCGGAGACTCGCCAGAGCTTTGGCCAGATCTGTTGGTTTTGGATGCCTTTGGGAAAACGGATAGGAGTCTTGGGAATGTGATTTTGGCATGGAGGAGACGAATTTGGCTTTGGGGGTAATTATGCTTGGGCCGTGTGCGACCCCACGAGTGTAGGGGTGTCTGTGTGGAGGGAGAGAAATGCGGGCACCGGTGGGGGAAACAGCCCAAGACTGTCCTAACGTTACTTGGGATCAGCGATTAGCCGGCGCCAGGTGCTGTCTGGTTGGGGAAAAGAAGCCTCACATCGGACTTGGGGCTGCGTCTACTTAATTGGATGTTTGAGACTTTTCCTGAGGACAGTGGGGAACTGGTGACTCACGCAAAATTGAGGATAGCAGGAATACAAGGAATTCCCGACAGGTCATTGTCCTGGGGATTGCCCTTATCTCAGATCCCAGCACCTGGGTAATTCTGAATGTCTCCCGGCTACATTCTCTTTGCTCTCCCACTACCTTCTGATTCTGTTGCATTTTCCCCAATCCTGGAATGGTACTTGCTAGTAGGAGATCAGCAGTTAGCTTTCTTTCTCCAAACGGAATCCCCTCCAGAAGGATCTGGGTTTGCCCCGGTGCTGGGACCTGGAGCAGTGCTGGGGTGACCAGAGCGGAGCCTCTGCCCTGGGGGTTCTTTTGCTTGAATTTGTGAACGCCGAGGCCCTCATGACTTTGAGAAGGTCTCTTGGCCCAACAGCTCATTCCCGGGAGGAAGACAGATAAGTGGGTGGAAAAGTCAGCTTGGTACACCCCGTACCACTCTCTCCAGTTGCCTGGTGGCGTTCACATGTGATAGCTGTGGCGTGTAGGGTCCGGAAGATTTCCTGGAAGGTGTTTTCCACCTTAATGGCACACACAGCCTTCTTTCAGTGAGCTGCTTTGTAGCAGGGACTAGTTCTTCAGGGTTTAACCCTCATTTGTGGAAGTGGATGGTGCCACAGGAGCAGGTGACCGAGAGCCACCTGCCTCTGCGTGTTGTCTGCCATGGGACGGGGCTGCACTTGACCTTGGCCTACGAGACTCTCGGAGCTGCTTAGAAGCCCGCATACCCAGTCCATCAGCATGCACCTCCTGAGACCTCAGGTCCTCATTTAATCTGCGCCTGAACTGCCTTTCTGGGCTGCTGAAACTGTGCGAAATGCAGAGCTGCCGGAGTCTAAAATGGAAAAGGGGAAGTCAGTTAGTGAGCAGAGATGAGCTGCTGTGGGAAGGCTCAGAACAGTTGGGGTGCAGTGTGGGGCGTTGGTGGATGGGAAAGGTTTCCTGTGAGAACCCTGGGGGAGTGAATTTGTAAGACAGAACAGGAATAACCATCCCGGTTACTTTGTCTTATTTTTTAAATAAAGATTTATTATTTGCTTGAAAGGCAGAATTACACAGAGAGAGAGAGAGAGAAAGATCTTCCATCCAGTGGTTCACTCCCTAAATGGCGTCAACACACAGCTGGGCTGGTCTGAAGCCAGGAGCCAGGAGCTTCTTCCGGGTCTTTCCCACGGGTACCATTCTCTGCGGCCTTCCCTGGAGTACCAACGGGGAGCTGGATTGGAAGTAGTGTTGCTGGGTTCCGTGTGGGATAGCAGTGGTACCGTGGTGCCAGCCCCAGGTTTATTATTTTTTAAAGCTATTTTTTTCTGATGCATGATCACTGAATCTGATCTTTTGTGACTCTTTTCATAAAATCACACCTTGGGGAATTTCCAAATGGTGCTACCCTGACTCACCAGTCAGTCCATCCTCCCACCAAAGCATCCCTGTAGGCAGCAGTTACCTGACACGGGTTCAGAACAGCCCTGGGTAGGAAGGCCCGTGGGAGCTCTAACGCGTGGTCCGCTTGCGTTTACAGAACTGCAGACAACGGCAGAACAAAGGCAGCTCAGTGAGCCCCTCACCCGGGGCTCTGCTAGCCATGTCGCCGACAGCGACCTCGGAGACGGAGCAGGATGAGGACCAGCGCAACAGGTTCATTAGCAGGCTCATCTTCTTCCTCTTCATCTTCGGGGCCGTCCTCCTGTGCGTGGGAGTCCTGCTGTCCATCTTTGGGTTCCAGGCGTGTCAGGATGAAAACGCCACAGACTGTAGCTTGGTGCTAAAGATCGCCGGGCCCTCGTGCGCCATCATCGGACTGGGAGTTGTGATCCTGGCCCGCTCGCGGGCACGCCTGCAGATGTTGGAAATGCGGCGGCGAGGCAACCAGGCCGATCCGGACCAAGCCTTCCTGTGTGGCGAGAGCCGCCAGTTTGTCCAATGCCTCATCTTTGGGTTTCTGTTCTTGACCAGCGGTATGCTCATCAGTGTGCTGGGCATCTGGGTGCCCGGCTGCAGCTCGAACTGGGTACAGGACTCACTCAACACGACAGACTCTTCCAGGCCAGAACCCCAGATCTGCGGGTTCCTTTCTCTACAGATCATGGGGCCCTTGATCGTGCTAGTGGGACTGTGCTTCTTCGTCATCGCCCACGTGAAGAAGAGAAACACCTTGAGTACCACCCACGAGGTCTCTGAGAGTGAAGAGGGGCCGAGCCAGAGCATGGAGCCTGTCCAGGTCACAGTAGGTGAGTGGCTGTCACTGGCATCCTTGCCATTCTCACAGCAGCTGGTCTGTGGGCATGGTCTGGCTCTTCCTCACCACCTCCCCTCGTACACATGTGTCCACATGCCATCACATGTACACTGCACAGTCATGCAGCACTGCTGTTGTAGCGTGAGAAATTTCCATGCATCTCACCTGCTCCTGAGGACATGACTGTTTAGCAGAGGTGTTGAGATATCAAGTGTGACTTAAGGAGAAGTCCATGAGGACAGCTTTAGGGTTTTTTTGCTTTTAGATTTATTTATATATTTGAAAGGCAGAGCAACAGAAGTGGGAAGCAGACACAGAGAGAATCTTCTGTCTGCTGGGTCACTCCCCGAATGGCTGTGATGGCCAGGGCTGGCCCAAGGGGATGGAAGAGCCAGGAACTCAGGCTGGGACTCCTATGTGGTGGCAGGTGTCCAATATTTGGGCCATCCTCTGTTGCATTCCCAAGCGCATTAGCAGGGAGCTGGATGGGAAGCGGAGCAGCTGAGCCTTGAAGCATTGCTCCCATGTGAGATGCTGGGTTCTCACCCACTGGGTCATGATATTGATGCAGCCTTGGAGCCTTTGATCACTTTGTGGATCCACCTTGTGAGCCCATTGGGTCCCCCCTTTATCCTCCCAGCACTTTCAACGGTGGGACTCTTGAACTGTTCTTCCCAGCTGTCACAGACTGGCTGTCCCTGATCAGGCCTTAGCCTCCTCTAACCTTATCTAGCTTCTACTTTTCTGAAAGCAGCACTGCAGTTCCCTCCAGCATTCACGTTCTGGAATTCTCTATCCAAAACCCTGTGGTCTCACATTTTGAGTGAGGGCCCTGGACAGTGTTTCCTGCACCGTTCATGTCCTGTGGCTTCATCATTGTTGTCCCCCGCGGTTGGGTAAGGCTGGGGAATAATGGCATAGACAGACCAAATGTGCCATGGCGTGCCACCTCCTGCCCTTGGGCAATGTGTAGCACATACTTTCAGGCCTATGTGTTCTGCAGGAGAGTGAGGTGGCTGGTTTCCAGGGTCAGCTTGCGTAGAACCACATCCCATGCCTTGGCCTGGCTTCCCACAGTCAAGGCCGAGCCCACCAGCCTTGCGCACTGACACGCTGCTGGTTTTCAGGCTCCCACTTTGGAAAGGGTGAAGCTCTGAGGCCACAGCCTGCATGGCCTGGCAGAGAAGGAGTGCAACAGGTGCAGCATGACACAGGCCACAGGCAGTGACCAAGCTCCACCTGTGCCAAGCAGGCGTTGATGGGGAGGCATGTGAGAGGAAAGGACTTGTAGGTGTACTGAGCCCTCCTGGGAGCACAGGGGGGTCTGAGCAAACAGATGCACTCCTCAGATGCACCTGTTCTTGCATCTGCAAGTGTGCTCTCTGGGCTCACGAGGAGCCGGGATTGGTGTGGAGGCAGGGAACCCAGCTCTGCTGCTCTGGGCACCGAACAGCTCTTTACGTTTCATAACCTGGGAAGTGCTAACATGTTTTTTAAAGTTATTTTTGTATTTGAAAGGCAGAATTAGAGAGAAAGAGGGAGAGCGAGAGAGGGAGGGATCTTTTATTTGCTGGTTCACTTCTTAGGTGGCTGCCACAGCCAGAGTTGGGCCATGAGTTTTATCCAGGTCTCCCATGTGGGTGCAGGAACCAAGTACTTGGACCATCCTCTGCTGCTTTCCCAGGCACATGAGCAGGGAGGGGGATCAGAGGTGGAGCAGGGAGGACTTGAACCGGCATTCATATGGGATGCTGCCCCTGCATCCTTTGATCCTGGAAGAAAGGGTCTGCTCTTAGTAACCAAGAGGCTATTCTGTTCAGTATGGGCCTGAGTGCAGTGCTGGGTGCTAGCAGGTGCAGGAGCAGCCCTCCATGCTTCCAGAAAGGAGAGCAGGCTCTGAGGACAGCAGTGAAGGGAACCCTCCAGGAAAGCAGCCCCTTGAGAGCAGGAGGACAGGTGTGGAAGGCCGAGATGATTGGGCAGAATGGATGTCCTGGGAGACGGCTGAGCTTTTGCTGGGTGCTGGCCTGCCTTGGAGGCTTGTTGCACAGGCCCTTCCTCTACTGTGCAATGAGAAGGAGCTTCACTCAGCTTCAATTCCTATAGCCACCAAGACCACCTAAAGGATCCGATGAGGCTCCTGAAGCAACCCTCACGCTTGGCCAACTTGAGATTCGCAAGACACGTTTTTTGAGTTCTAATTGTCCTCATCTTGCAGAAAGAGAGAAGGAGTGGGGTCGTGTTCTGGGAGAGGAAGTGACTGAGGTGTAGGGATGGAGAGAGGCTCCCCTCAGTGATCTGCCAGCTGGGCATGTCGCCATCATGCACCTGCCTGCCTCGGGCGGGAGCATTGTGCGGGGAGTGCCTTTGCTGGGTTGTGCCAGCCCAGGGTTTGCTCTTTCCTCCACGTTGGAAGAACTGCTGGAAGTTAGTCACCCGTCTAGCCCTTGTCTCTGCCCTCTGAACCCGAGCTGAGTCAGACGGCTCATTCAGGGATGTGCCTGGCTGATGACTGGCAAATGGAGCCCCAATGGCTATGGCTATGACAGGAAATCCCTGAGAGTGGACCATGATGCAAGCTAGGCAAGCATCAGATGTGCTGTCCGGGCAGGTCTGTACACCCCTGCGGGGAGCTGAAGTCCTGGGTCTCTTGTACTTTCCCCAACTGTCACTCAGGGTTGCTACTGTAATACAGGCCTTTGTGAGACCCATGGAGTGGTGCAGTCCATGTCCAGAATGTTCTGGGTGGCCTATGCAATACATTGGCATTCCTGTGTTTTGGAACCAGCCACAAAAACAACCTCTTTTAATATTTGTTTTCAAAAGATTTATTTTTATTTGAAAGAATTACAGAGAGAAACAGAGAGATCTTCCATCTGTTGGTTCACTCCTCATTGGCTAGCAGTGGGATGAGCATAAGCCATGAGCCAGGAACTTCACACAGGTCTTCCCTGTGGGTGCTGGGTCCCAAGCACTTGGGCCACCCTCTGTTGGATTCCTAGGCTCATTCGCAGGGAGTTGGTCTGGAAGTGGAGCAGGTGGGACACAAACCAGTGTCCATACGGGATGCTGGTATCACAGGCAACGGCTTAACCAGCTATGCTACAATGGCAAACCCTATTTATTTATTTTTAAAATGTGGTCATTTATTTATATTCATTTTATTTGAAAAGCAGAGACAGATGTTCCAAACCTCTGGTCAATTCCTTATATTCCTGCAGCAGCTGAGTCTGAGGTCTGGTGCCTGGGGACTCAGTCTGGGTCTTCCGCGAGAGTGACAGGGGCCTGAGAACTCGAACCATCACCTGCAGCTTTGCGATGTAGCATCCTGAGGGGCATCTGAAGCACTTGTGACAGCCAGGGTTGGGACTGGACAAAGCCAGCATGCAGGAACTCCATCTGGGTCTCCTATATGAGTGGCAGGGGCTCATGTACTCTGGTCATCAGGTGCTGCTTTTCAGATGCATTAGCAGGGAGCTGGGTTGACAGTGGAGCAGCTGAGACTAGAACTGGCTCCCTGATTTAGGATGCTGGGGTTGCAAGCTGCAGATTAACCCACTGTGCCACAGGACTGCTCCAAACCTCCTCCCATCCCCACCCCGACCGCATCGCCAGCAACTTCCTTTGGAAAAGTTAAACTTGGAGTTGAAAGGAGATACTCTATCAGCAGCAGACACACCTAGGAAGGGGAGGTAGCCTGTGAACCAGCGCTCCTCGGATTGCATTCGTTTGGACTTGCTGTGGAATACAGGCCCCTCCACACCACACGGGGAACTCTGTGCTCCTTGACACACAGGTGCTCTTATAGCGACGTGATAAAATGCAGCCACAGCAATGAAAGCTTACCACTCCAACCACCTCTCAACGCAGGATTCAGTGGTGCAGAGTATGCACACATTGCGTGCCCCTGTCATCGCTGTCCACTCTCAGGGATTTCCTGTTACCCCAACTGGAACACTGCCCTTGAAGCAAGCAGTCCTGCCCCCATCCTCTCTCACTTCCCATCCTCATCCTGTCCTTGATGTCCTGTCCTACTTTCTGCCTCTTACACATTTTGATAATCTGCTGGTTCGTTCCCCAAATGGCCACAACAGCCGTGGCTGGGCCAGGTTGGAGCCCGGAACCAGAAACTCCATCCAGGTCTCCCACATGGGTGGGTAGGATCCTACTCAGTTGATGCATCCTTAGCTGCTTTCCTAGGCATATCAGCAGGAAGCTGGATCAGAAGTGGAGCAGCCAGGACTCACACCAATGGCAATATGGGATGCCAGCGTTGTGGAGTGTGGCTTAGCATGTTGCAGCAGCATGCTAGCTTCTAGGCCCTCCTTGTAATTCTGGGGTTTGGTGGCAAGTGTCCGACTTGGATTTAGAGTTTGCCTCTTTGACTCTTGTTAGCGTGCTTCCAGCTGCCCCACCTTGGTCTTTAATGAAAATACTTTGTGCCCACAGGTGACTCGGTGATCATCTTCCCACCACCTCCCCCGCCGTACTTCCCTGGCCCTCCAGCATCTCCCGTGTCTCCGGTTCACAGCGCTGGCGCTGATGGTGCACTTCCCCACGAAAACCCACCTCCGTACCACAGTATTTTTAATCAGGGGTAAGACTTGGCATTGGAATTTCAAGCGTGGGGTGTGCATCCCCTTCCTGTGCCTGTACCTGCATGCAGGCCTTAGTGTGAGAACCTGTGGACATCACAGGAAGTGAAGATGCAGGGTAAAAGCCACCTGCAGGTGCCAGGGGGGCTCCACCCTGGCTTCCGCTCGGGGTTGGTGCTGCCAGGGATGGGTCTCTGTCTTCGACTATGGGGCTGTGGGGTCCTGGTCCCCCACTCCCAGCAGGTCGAGAAGTGCTCTTGGGTTGTGTCAGGAGTTCCTGGGGGGTAACCTACCCTGACCCAGATGAGCTGCTCCTCAAAATCTGATTGCTCCCTAGCCCTTGGCATCTTCTAGAAGCACTGGACTGGGTAGGGGGGCTTCAGGGAGGGGACAGGGTAGGTAGGAGCTGAGCTTGGAGGACAGGGGCATCCAGGATCTGCAAGGGACTGTTCAGGAAGAGAGGGGCTGTAGGGGGTCCTGGGGCTCCCCGTGCTCCCCAGGGTGAGGATGAGGTGTGGGGAGAGAAGGAGGAGCCGCTGAAAATTGTCTCTGGGTGGAGGGGGAGGTCTGGGCAGTCCACGGTGCAGGTGCCTGCTGAACCAAGGTGTCAGCAACCCCTTTGTCTCATCCCACCCTCTCCTGCTCTGACGAAGCAGGGGACAAGCCCCACACAGGAATGATGGTTGAGTAGGGAGGCACAGAGGTGGCCGTCAAAGGCACAGGTGGAGGAGGCTCACTTCCATCAGAGAGCTTGGGATCCAGGAGGGGAATGCAAGGGCTTGCTGGGCTTGTGTGTGGCTCCAGTGCTCTAGCAGGCTGCTTTTCCTCCCACAGTGGGCTTCCCCACACCCTGGTGCAAAGCCAAGTCCGGTCTGTGATCTCAGCGTCCCATTTGTGGGCTTTTTGGATGAAATTGTCCCCTCTTGGAGGAGGGCGCTGTTGGCAGCCCTGTCTTAGAGACATGCATAAGTTCAATACCTTCCTTAAGGTTCCCCCAACATAGATGTAGTATGCCTTCCTGCCTGCCTTCAAGTCTTGGGGTTAGTGTTTTATTTTTCTTTTTCTAATAAAAAAGGGTATATATATTTTTAAATCAGAGAGAGAGAGAGAGAAAAGAAGGAAGATCCTCTATCCATTGGTTCTCTGCCCAAAGGGCCGCAGCAGGCAGGGCTGGGCCAGGCAGAAGCCAGGAGCCAGGTGTTGTACATGACTGTTGTACATGAGTGGCAGGAAAGAAGCCATCATCTGCTGCTTCCTGGACATGTTAGCGGGGAGCTGCATTGGCAGTGGAATAGCTGGGACTTGAAGCAGCATGCCAGTGTAGGTGCTGGTGTTCTGAACAGCAACTCAACCCAGCACGTATGTCCCCACACCCAACCCCTAGTGTTTTCATTTTGTGCTTGCAAGTCTGTCTAGCTTATGCTGGCTGTCTCAGAAGACAGGGTGGCGGAGACTGGAACTGTCTGTATGTGTCTTCTCAGTGACTGGGGAATGACAACAAAAGTGTTCCGATCTGAGGCATCAGAAAGCGATGACTGGCAGACAGCACTGCCCGGATGTATGCATGAGACGCTAGCAAAGAACCTGGTCCTTAACGGTTGCCCTTCTCTCTCTCCTGGTCTCTCTTGGCCTTCTCTACAGGATCCCCGCACCCGAGAGCCAGGGCGAGGCCTCCGAGAGAGATTGTGAATCTATATTTACCATTTCTGGGACTGGTTCATCCTCGGAGCTGTCCCGCGCTCCCTACCTTCCACGTGAATTACCTCCTCGATATGAAGAAAAGGAAAGTGCTGCACCTGCCACCCAGCCTCCTGCACCGTGAACTTGGACTCCGGTTCAATTTTATATGTATTGTGCCAATGTTTTATTTAATTTGTGTGTGTGTTTTTTAAATAAAAAAAAAAAAAAAGAAACTGCAGCCAATGAAGGTCCAGCTCAGTCTGTCACCCACATTAGCCTATACACACACTGGTGGTTGCAGTCACCTGGTCAGTTCTGTCCCCAGCCCCATCTCATACACAAACCAATGGATGTTGTGGTTCAGCCCAAGCCTGTCCACCACACGCTCAGCCCTCATGCACACCAGCAGGAACTACGGCCCAGTCGGAGCAACCTCCAGTAACCTCTACCAGGACCACCTCCAGCCCCAGTTCCTGTGGATGTCAGGAACTGTGCAGCAGACTGGTCCAGTCCATCCCGCATCTCATTAGACTCTCACACACATCAAAGGGTGTTGGAGCCTAGCTCAGTCCAACTGACCCCATTATCCAGCCCACACTTATACTGGTAGGTGTCAGTACCTGTCCAGCCAGGCCCGCTCCAAGTTCTGGATCTTGCATTTTCCAACTGGTTCTTTGTTTTAACTTTACAGGACTTGCTCTGGCTTTCATGCAAATCGATAGGTGTGATAGCTAGCCTAGCTTGGCATGGCCCGCACCCCATCCTGGTTCCCACACATGCCAGGGTGCTACAGTTTGGTCTGGCCCTGCCAGGTCTGCTCCCCAAAAGCCAACCCACACTTTTTTTTTTCTGGGCAAGTCTTTTCTTTTTTTTTTAATTTATTATTTTTTTAATTTTGACAATCTTAACATAGTTAATTAGGGTAAAAAGGTTCCAGGGCTACAGGAAAGTGGATAAGACTAGCATTTTTTCCATATTGTTTCCTTCATGTTTAAAGGGGGATATTAAGGGAGAAGGTCCACCCAATTTCCCACCCTCCCCAGGACCCGGATGTAGGGCATGCTCTGAGGTTCTTGCTCAAGTGGTTTGATATTTCAACAGTTATGAGTCGCTGCCAATCTTGCCACTCCAAGCACTATGAGGTCTTTGAAAAATCCACTGATTGACATAGTCCATCATAGCTGAGATCAACCCACACTTTTACTGACAAGTAAAGCAGCCTAACCAGCACCCAGGCCTGACTCACGTGCACACCAGCAGGGAGTTCTTCATGTTTACTCACCAGGCCCACTTCCAGACCCAGATCTCAAGCATGTCAGCGGGTGTTACGTCCTAACCCAGTAGAGTTTGCTCCCCAGTCTTGGCCTTCGTGTGCGCTGGTAGATGTTGTGGCCCTGCCCGCCTTGTTGAAAGAATTACTTTCAACAAGAATTCTTCAAGAATTCCACCTAATTCTTGAAAGTACCTGTGGGTGCTACAGCCTGGACTAGCCTGGCTGCTCCCCTTTCTGTCCAGCTCCCTGCTTATGGTCTGGGAAAGCAGCAGTGGAGGATGGCCCAAAGCCTGGGGACCCTGCACCTGCATGGAAGACCAGGATGAAGTTTTGGACTGCTGGCTTTAGATTTTCCCAGCTCTAGCCCTTGCAGTCACTTGAGGGAGTGAACCAGCAGATGGAAGATTCTTTCTCTCTTTTATTCTCTCTGTAACTCTGCCTTTCCAACAAAATAATGAATCTCTCTATCTATATGTATAGGTACATATATGATGGACAACAGAGGCAGAACTGCACTGGCTGTGCTGGAACTGCCTGAGGGGCTTCTGGCCTGCCTGTGCAAAGTGCAGATGCTCTAGAAATGGTTCCTACCAAGTGTTTTTCTCCCTGCAGCTCCCAGGCCCTGGGAAATCAGGACCTGAATGCAGGAAGTCCCCCCGTCCCAGGCTTCCACTGTAGAAGGAGAGAAGTTAGGAGGTCTACTGTGGAGGTGGCAGTCCTGAGGGGAAGGCTGCCCACTGAGTGTGGGTAGGAGCCACGCGTGGCTGGTTGGCTGCATAGCTTTACATAACTTGGATTCCTGCAGTCTCACGCCTGCTGCTCCCTGCCACCCACCCACCCAGGGAACCCCAAGAAGAGCCCAGGGGAGGGCTCCAGGAAGCTTCTCCCAGCCAGGAATGCTTTGTGGGGGTAGATTCTGGCTGGGTGGATCATGTGACTGCTGAAAAATGCTGTTGGTCCCAGAGCGCTGACCTCGCCCAGGGAGGGACTGCCTGCCTGCCTGCCTGCCGGGGAGTAATGCCACTGCACCCCGCTGGCAGCCCCAACTGGGGGGGGGGAGGGCGGCAGAGCGCTGACTTACTGACCTTTGAACTAGAGAACCATACTGTCCACTACCGCTGGTGGGCCCAGTTGCTTAGTTATTAGGTTTTTTGTACAGGTGGGGCCAGCTCATTTCCTGGAAAAACCACGGAGGGTCAGCACCCAGCATGACCGGTGGCTCCGGGAGCCCTGGGCTAGTGACTCAGGGTCCTTCTCACAACTTGACCCCACCCAGGAAGCAGTCACTGCCCTACCTCCCGGCCTCTTCCGCCTCCCTCACCAGCTGCGACTGTGCCTCCCAGGTCTGGCTCCTCCTGTTGGCTCCTGGGGGTAGTGGAGCTGCCCTGGATGCTGCCTACCCACGTCCCCTCACCCGGCAGAAACATAAGTCTTCCTGGTGCCAGTTCTCCCGCCCAGCAGGCATCTTCCTGCGAGCATCTCACATATGGTTCCCCTCTGTTGCTCTGGGTAGGGTGGAAGGTTGTACGGGACTAGCAGGTGGAATGTGGTAGAACCAGACCAGCCCTGGGTCGGCCTGACCCCAAGGTTAGTGGTTTTCACAAGTGTGCCCCAGAAGAGACTTTGGCATCTGCCGGTCTATTTCTGGGGTGTCCTTTGGCGCTAGAATGGCATCTCCCCTTCCCTTAACCCTGCATGCTCCTGCCTTTGGAGTCTTGCCAGGTGGAAGGATGTCACATAGTGAAGGACGAGAAACTCCAGGTAAAAGGGAGACTCGAAGTTCAGTCCAAGGCCACAGAATGAACCAAGGGCAGGGCATCCTGCTTTCTGCCGTTCTGCCATTGACCTGGAAAAGGAATGCACTTCAACACGGCTGCTCTCATTGGAGGTGACTCTAGAAGCAGCCCCGGGAAAGAGCAGTGAGGGAGTGCTGGGGCCTGCAGTGGCTGTGGCGTGTGGTTGGGGTGGCCTGTGGCCTGAGGGGCTCCCGAGTGAGACACTGCAGGACAGTGTTGCACTGGGCAACGCGCAGGGCAGCTACCCTGGGGCCGAGGCCACGGCCAGGGCAACAGCAGGGGAGGAGCTGGGCGCCCAGCTGCACGGGCAGGGTGGAGGTGTGACCAGGAACACCGCTGTCCCTGCTGAGCCAGTCCTGGGCTTTGTAGAATTGACTGCCAGTGGACATCAGTGAGGAGAAGCGGTCTGCTGGAAATGTCACTCAGTGCCATTCAACCAGAGATTTCTTGTCAAGGTGATTCATGGTTTAAAAATTCACACATAGGGTATTATTTCAAATTTAGATAGCTAATAATTTGCTTAGCCACTCCTCTATTTATGAACATTCAAATTGTTCCCATGGCCTGGCACCATGGCCTAGCGGCTAAGGTCCTCACCTTGAACGCACTGGGATCCCATATGGACGCCGGTTCTAATCCCAGCAGCTCCACTTCCCATCCAGCTCCCTGCCTGTGGCCTGGGAAAGCAGTCGAGGACGGGCCAAATCCTTGGGACCCCGCACCCGCATGGGAGACCCAGAGGAGGCTCCAGGATCTTGGCTTCAGATTGGCTCAGCTCTGGCCGTTGTGGCCACTTGGGGAGTGAATCATCAGATGGAAGATCTTCCACACTGTCTCTCCTCCTCTCTGTATATCTGACTTTGCAATAAAAATAAATAAATCTTTAAAACAATAAAATAAATTGTTTCCTAGAAGCCAACAGTGAAAGAGAAGAAGCTCAAAACCCTACCTGACCTGGTAGCTATTCTTGCTGCCACAGGCTAAGAAAGCTTTCTAACAGCTCAGCAAAGCGCCCCTGTAGGAGAAGCGGTAGGCCTTGGAGTTCCCCCATGGAGTGCTAGGGTTCAGGAAGAATCACAAAGAACATGCAAGCAATGCTGCAGTGAGAGACTGGAAAGGGTAGGATGTTCTCAAAGGAGTCCGCCCAGAAATGGTCCATGCACTTGTACCAGGAGGGTACCCTGACAAGTCAGATGCCTTCCCTGACCCCACCTCCTACTGTAAAGATTTATTTACTTATTTAAAAGGCAGAATTACACACACACACACACATAGAGTTAGAGATCGTCCATTCACTCCCCAGGTATGTGCAGGGCGGGACCAGGTCAAAACCAGGAGCCTGGTCCTTCACCCAGGTCTCCCACGTGGGTGCATGGCCCCAACCAGTGGAGCTGTCTTTTGCCGCTTCCCCAGGTCCTTTAGCAAAGAGCTGGATGGGAAGCAGAGCAGCTGGGACTCCAATCAGGGTCCCATGTGGGATGCCAGTGCTAAGGATCGGGACCCTTACTATTGGAAACTTGTGTTGTTTCCAATTTTTTTTTTTTGCAGTAAGGGGAGAAAATGCTACAATTATTGCTTATGTTTTTGTCTGAAAGGTTTTATGTTTTCAACTGTGTTTATCCTGAGAGTATAAACTCGTGCACATATAATATCTTATGGTAGAAGCCAGACAACAGTTGTGATGGTTAATTGTATGCGTCAGCTTGCCTGAGCTAAGGGATGCTTGGCTTGCCGGCGAAAAAAAAAAAAACAAATGTTGCTTTTTCAGTGTGTCTGTGAGAGCATTTCTGGAATGAAGAGAGGCCAGCACTTGGGTGAGTAGACTGAGCTGAGAGATGTTCCTCCCCACTTTCCCACTGAGGCTGGCCATGTCATCTTCCAGTTCCTTGAGGGCCCAAATAGCATAGCAGACCAAAGGAGGTGCCTGAGAGTTCCCTGCTCCTCCTGCCCTGGCCCCCTGGGCCTTTGGGACCCACAGTCCACTCCAAGCACCTCCTCTCATCAGGGCTTGCTGACTTCCTGAAACATTGAATTGCATCTCCTGGGTCCCCTGGGTTCCCAGCTTACAGCCGT